AATCAAAGAGGAAACAAAGTTTTCCATTAAAAAAATGAGTAATTACATGATGGCAAACCAGAAATTGGGCAGTTTAGGAATTAACTTCTCTTTGGACATATTTAATCTTGAACTTTCAGCTAGATCCTAAGACTATTTAGAGGAAGTTAGTGAATCCAGGGATTCCATAGAGGAATTCAGAGATTACTTAAAACTAAGAGCAAAGAAACCCTCTCAGCTTCTCCAAGCTGAATGCTGTAACTGTCCTTTACTGTTAATCCTGGTACTGCACAAGGCCACACTTTTATCAACTCACCTGCATAAGCCAACCCTGCAGACCCCTGTCCTCATGCCCTTTTTCCTTGCACAAGCATTAGAGTTCACAGAGAGCAGGTAACTGGCTCGTTCAATTAAATTATACTCTTTTCATGTGCTGCTTAAGTGAGCTTGAAAAACCAAGTGCTGTTTTCAGGAAGATTGTCCTTTCCTCTCAAGTGCTACACAGTTCACAGCCAAAATGAGACTTCCAGGCTCCACACCCTCTTCCTACCAGGCTTCAGACAGGCACAGCTCAGTCCAGTCTCTGCGAGCACTGCTGCAGATGCAACTCATCTTGTACAAATATTTAATTAAAATGCAATAAAGTAGTACAAGTGTGAAGGAAAATATTCTCAGAACAAGTAAAATACCAGCTTAAAAGTGCCACTGCATTGTCAGATGCGTTATAGCCATCATGAGAATACTAAATATTGAAATAAATAGAGCAGCATGTATTCACAACTGGAGGATCTGTCACAGACTGATCTCTTTCAGCTGAGCAAAACACAGAAAGGAGTATTGCAGAGGAAAACAAACAGGTCTGGATTAGATGACCAGAAAGCTCACTCCTGGGATTACATTCCTGACTGCAGACAAAGGCTTGTGTACCCTGTGAAAGCCACTGCTGGGCAGCGAGCCCCCTGGCACACACCCTGGCCCTGCCATACATCCCCAGCAGGGTGACAGGTTACACAGAACTAGAGAAGCCAAAGGCTCAGCCATTAGGCACATGTCAGCATGACTGAGGAGCTGAAGTGACCACAGATGCTGAAAAAGAACAGCCATATCTGGAGGTGAAATGCTTCTGCTGCGCATGCCTCCTGCACACCTCTGGGGTGGAAAAGGGCTTTATTCTCACCTCCAGTTCCCACCTGTAGCAGTCTGCAGCTGTGTGTTTCATGGAGGAGCTCTGGCAGATGTGACTTTGCACTCCTACGAACAGCCTCATTTGTAAAAAGTGTTAGCACAAAGCATTTTTAGGTTTATTTAAATAAAAATTATAATTTATACAAGACTTTTTAAACAAACAAGATTTTCTTAAAAAATGTACAGAGCAAATCATTTCATTATTTCAATTCTTCATACAGTATAAGTCTTCTGTCAAACAAAAGTTACACTGATAATGAATTATTTACAACTTCAAAATATAGACTCAAACTTCAGACATAAAAATTTTAACATCCATTATATTTCAATGATTAGTAGAAATTAAACATCTGCCAAAATGTACAGAATTCAATAAAAACTACCAGTGTTTTTAATACAAGTTTAAGTAGCCAAAAAAAAAAAAAGTACATCCTTTCATCTCTTCACGAGTGGGTAAAATCTCTTTTCTCTTTGTCTGTGGGAACAAGAGTAGGGTTTTGCTGCTGGCATCCTGTGTTGCTACTCATCAATAGTAGCATTTCATTCCATCTTGTCTCACAAAAGCTACAGTTCACGGAAAGGCATGATTTCATATTTCAGCTTTTTTTTGCCTTTTCTATTTAAGTGGTCACTGATAAAGAATTAAAGCAGTCAGTTCTCATCTCCCTTTTTTTTTTTTCTCTTTTAAAGGGACTCAAACTAACCAGTGAACTTCTAAAGAAGTTAAGTCCAATTATGTGTGAAAGATCCAGCAATGAACCACAGACATCAACAGAATTGCAAATATAAACAGCAAACAGACAGAATGTCAAGAACATCACTTTCTGTTATCAGAAAGTAGCACTTTACATCAAATGGTATGACCCAGCCTGTTACTGAATACAGCAGCTATGCTGCACACCTGTGTAGGAAGATTGGAATCTAAGGTGAGAGCTTCAGTGTAATTATACAAGTCAAGTATATATTTACTCACTGTCTATCCCCTCCTGCCCTCCAAAGCTGGGAGGGTGCAGCACGAGGAAAAGGATGAGTAAACACAGAGGTTATCTTCTAGTGTCTCTGAAGTCACACACGCCACAGGAGCAGTTGTGCAGCATGAGCCTGGACAACCCAATGTAAAGTCAACTTTGCAACATATGTACATAGACGTTTGACAGTTACATTACAACTCTATTTTTTTTAAAAAAATCCAGTCTGTTTTACATGTATTAGAATGAAACAACATTGCATTGCAGTTTGCACTAGTATTTACTGCTTCAAGGATCACTAACTTTTTAAGTTATTTCAAACATGAACACATTAGATTTTTGTAAGAAGTTTCTAATCTCTTTATCCAGAAAAAAATATTAAGGGCATATTGTACACGAGGCATTTCAGTCTGAGAAAAGGATAATGGTTTCTTTTCTCCCTCTCTGAAGCCTAGGCATGGTTCATTGTTCTGGTGCCATCAGCACAGGACCTATAGCTCCTCCAGGAACCAGAATGTAGGACAACCCTAAAGAGTGAGGGTCAATCAGTGAAGGGTGGGAACAGGAGGAGGTATTAAGTGCAAGTCAACTGATTTTCTACTGAAACTGCTGTTATGATCAGAGTGAAGGTATAAATTACACTTGAAAAATGATACAAAAATAAGAAAAAGAGCATGCTCTCTGTAAAAATAGAGCTTTCTGTTTCTTCAAAAAACAAAAAAAAGGATAACCTTAAACACACCCAAGGGATTTTTTTCTTAAGACAAAATGAATGAATAATTAAGATTTACATAACATTAAGCGTTTTTAATGCCTGTTTGCTTGTTGCACTTAGTATTCAAGGAAGCATCTAGAAAGGAAAGTCAAATGATAGTACACAGCAATTACAAAAAGAGATTGATTGATTTTAAAGTAGGTTTGGTGAAAAAAATTACAGATCAAGGATTTTTAATTAAACATAACACCTGACTGTGTTAAGTGAAGAAACCACAAACTGTCAAGTTAAGTCCGTATTACATGGTAGCAAAATGGATTTCCCAGCAGCCTCACTTATCTTTTAAGTTTTCAGGCACTGAGCTACACCATACCTATGCAGGTGTTAGAAATGCACTCCTCTTTGATGTCATGTAAAGACACTTTGAAGTGCTGCTCTAAAGGGAGAACACAAAACTAGTATTTTAGCCAGTAAGCTGGATTCTCCCTTTTTCACATTTCCACCCAGGGCACAGAATTTTACCCCATCAGTGTCTCCCTTAACAATACCCAACAAAATCACAGTATTCAACAGTATTTTTTCATAGCAAGTTCATATTAAGTTCTTTGTATCATGCCTCTTCATGGCCTGACTGAAATAAGGATTGTACAGTTTGACTGCCACTTTTTTCATTACTGCTGCATTTATTGACAGACTTTAATTTAAACTGTGCTAAGTGTTAGACACTCTTCAGTGTTGTCTCCCTTCTCCCTTTTTCATTTTACCCCTTTCTCTATAAAGTAAGACAATTTATGTTAAAAAGAAAAAAAAAGAGAAAATCCATGAAATTAAGTCCATTTTTACGTAAGAATTTGCATCTCCATTGCTTTTTTGGGGGACATTCATTACATTTCTGGAGACATACATACTACTCAACTCAAAAGACATAGCAAAGCAAAAGACACACTGGAAGGCTTGGTGTAACTCCTACTGTGCTTTCATGAAAATGCAAATAAAATTCTAAACCTCTCAGATGGGTGCTATTATATAGAGTATAAAAGCTTTCTAATATTAAAGACAAAGGTCAATATGTGCTTTGCTGCTAAAAAGGCCTGAGAGAGTTTAGAGGAGCACAGCCTTCCTGTTCTACATGGCAGTTGAGTTTAATTGTTACTAAAATTTAATTTTGCAACGGGAAAGACTTGCCAATGCCCCTCAAAGTATCTTTGAAGAACAACTAGTGCTTTCAGCTGCTATATTATAGTGTGATTTTATTACAAGGCAACTCAAGAGAAAAGCCAAATTACCAAAAAAAAAAAAAAAAAAAAAAGGTAATGTCTCGGTTTAGTTTCACTATGCCCACTGCCCCCAACACAAAAAGCCTGCAAGTCTTTAATGCATTAAGATACAAACACCTTGTACATACAACATGTACAATAGTTGAGCCCTTCTGTGACAAGTATCTACAGAAATACAAATATACGATGCCTAACATTTTAGGAAAAACATTTTGGTGCCCTCTTTTATAAAAAGTATCTGCCTGCCTTCCTTCCTCTTACTTTGGTTCATTAGGAAAGGAAGATATAGTTACAAACTGTCTCCCATCCAATTCATTGTACAAGCAATTTAAACTTCTATGCAGGAAAAAGTGAACCTAAACAAACTGGTAAAATATCCTTCTGCAATGCAAGAATTAGTGAGGAGGAGTTATTTCAAGTGCAGTTATAAATATGGAAACACTAAGATGATAATACTTCCTTGGTGTCACAATCAGTTTTAATAAAGAACCCAATAAAAACCTCTGAGACTTCAGGCTCCTGCAGTCATCACTCTCACATCTCAGGGAAAAACAACTAAGATAAAGGGACAAATGTATCCCTAGTGAATCAGTGGAGTTAAAGGGATCAATCTGTTTCACTTTGTTATTTAGTCAGTTCTCAAAGTACCTTCCCAGCTTTTAATGTCATTAAATAAACATTAAAAGTGCTTAATGTGCAAGGCTAATAGTGATGATAGCACTTTCACTGTTTTGTTTAATTTTGTTTTGTTGTTTTTTTTACAAAAACCTTAAAAACAAACATGAAGGCATATATAAAATACACTTGATTTATGTAACAGAGAATATAAACCACCAGACAAGAAAAATTATTGCAAAATAGATGAGGATGTTCATTTTTTTCACTACCAAGTCATAAAAGAAGAAAGTTTCCTTTAGATCTTCTAAGGTAAGATACTAGCTCTCACTGCTTGATGATGCAGAGGTTATTTTCACATATTGGTTGAATATTGTCTCAAAGGCTTCATCTCTGTGTACCATGGCACCAAACACCAAAGGCTAAACAACAGAAAAAAAGATCATATCAGTCCAGAAAAGAAAAATCTTTCTCTAGATATCATTTTGGCCAAATCAATAGGAACAGGAGATGAGCTGTACTCAAAGTGCATTAGAAAGAATTAAACATCCTTTTCTCTACTAAATCCTTCGCTATATGGCAGAGTTTCTAAGTTTTTTTTCAGTTCTCCATCTTCTTCTTACAACAAACCATGGCAATAAACTACATCTGCAGAGTAGATGGAGAACACTTCAACTCTCTTTCCCCTCCGCCCAACCAGTGCATGTTGTTTTCCTGATTGACCTCTGCTTCCATTAAAGATTTCCAAAAACCTTTACCAGTGCCTCTTTGTTTCAGCTCACAGAATATTTATTAAGGTACATTAACATTTTCAACCTTTTAATTAAGAAGTATCTCTCAATAACACCAAGCAGAATGCTTGGTACAACAGTTGCATGACTTGGAGAAAAGTTATTTATAGGTGATTAGTTTAAAATAAGGTTAAAATATGTTAAGAAAAGCTTCAATCACCAAATGAGTATTTGAGGCTTAGAGAAGCTTAAGACTGAAACAGGAAAACTGCATCTGAGGGTCAGGCCCTTCCACCCCAAAGCCTCCTCACCCACAGATACTCTCAAGCCATCAGCTTCTCATTCCAGACTGCACAGCAGAGCAGACCCCATGCTCCTGATGATGGATTCTGAGAGAATGGTCAATGGAGCCAAAAGGATGGAGCAAATCTTTGTGAAGTGTTACAGCAAAATAGCGCAGATGCAGTAGGACAAGCTACATGTTTAAATCATTTAAATTCTGAAGCCAAATATACTGAATAATAGACAAGTGAATTAAAAAACAAACATCAAACCAAACACTGGCATAAGGATGGAAAAAAAGTCTTTATGCTGGTGCTAGCCAGAGAAGGACGACAAAAAGGGCATGAAGCCGAACACAGCACTGCTACAGCCAGCTACTTACTTTTTGTGTAGAAGGTGTTGATACAGCAATACCCATCCCTGATCCCGGGAGAACAGAGAGCACTTTATACTAAAAAGAAATAACAACAAACAAACAAAAACACACAACAAAGATATCTTATGTACTGAAAAATAGCAAAGGGTGCCAAGAAGGCTACGCAGCTCATCACTGGTGTATCCTCCCAGCCACAACTAACCTAGCAGACCTCAATTACAAATAAGAAGAGGCCAGAGGCTGTTCTCCAACCTTGGAGTCAATCAGCACGGTGTTACTCGTACACCACGATCCTATCTCTCCTTTTCCTCCCATGCAACAAAAGCAGCGCCAAACCTAGCACCTCAGTACTTCATAGTGTAGAGGAGCTGGCCCAGCCACGATGCCAGGAGCCAGTGGCAGCTGAATGGTGCAGGCAGGTAGCACACCCTGGCCCTATGTGGATACATGTATATAAGAGTGTGCTTTTAGAGGTTTCCCTAGAAGTAATGTTCATCCACTGTTTAAAGGAGGAGCAAGCAGAATAGAAAATGCTGCTTCTTCAAAATTAAACAGACAAACAGGGTATGTATACATTTTTCTTTTTTCAAAAAAGAAAGTCTGATGCTAAGAATGAATACATCTGGCTTAACAGGGAAATATCCCCAAGGGGAAAGAGACCCCGAGTCTGGCCTGTGTTTCCCACCCCCAAATAAAACCTGGCACAGTACACTTTTTTATATTGTCTGAATGATGCCTTTCTCATCTTCATAAAATACCCTACACAAATGCAAAAGGACCTTTATGGCAGTGAAGACCTACTAAGCAATGAGCCAGCATTACTTCCAAGTATGATGTTTAAAAGCCATCAACCTGAATTATTAATCCCAACAGGAATGTTCTAGTTGAGCATACATTGTCTACTTTATAGACATGTGAGAGAAACAGAAGGAACTAATTTGAAAATCTGGAGGTACTTAAACAGTAGACAAGGGGCTAAGGTACATCTTTGCAGAGTGTGGCACTTAGGGCTACATGATGCAGCAGGAAGCAGGTGTCTGCACTTTAGGGTAGGGCAAGTTCAGTGACATTAAATGCCTTGATTGTGATGCAAGGCATTAATAAAGCCACTGGTGACTGCAGGCTGATAAAACCTAACCAGAGGGTGGATGACTTGTACTCCCCATACTTCCAAACAGCCACTTCCTGCCTCTGTTAGTGATGGGATCCTAATTAGATGAAAATCCAGCCTGATCCACTCTAACTATGCTAATGATTTGCTTTTCTCCTCTGACAATAATCCCCCTTCCCACCTACTTTTAAGATAGTGCACCTAACCATATCAAAACCCAAACTGAAGCTAGTATTACACAATTCCTGCTAATAATAAATCTTCTTAAAGCTTGCACAGTTCTACTCAACACAGGAGTTAAGAAACAACACAACTCTAATTTTAAAATAATTGAGAAACTTAGGGGTTTAGTAAACTACCATGTTTTTATGGTCATAGTGAGCTTTCTTCTGCTGAGTCCAAATAGCTAAACAAGCAGTTCTGGGAAATACTATTGATCAAAGAATTATATTATACTTATAAAAAATTATCAATGGCATGCTTTTTCAAAATAACATAAGCAGAAAAGCAAAATACGACTAGCTGAACAGAAAACCAACTTTCTTTCTTATATGCAAAAAAACCCCAAGACATACCTTTTGAATATCTGTTATATCCGTTAGCTTTATGACTTTATTTCTTTTAGATGAGCCGGATTTGGAGCTTTCAAAGCACAAGTAGCTGAAGACATGGAAAGAAAATGTGCATTTTGATACAGTGAACTCAAACAAAGCCCTCAGTTTCCCTCCTGTCACTTCTGAATTTTGAAATCTCACAGGTTAAAATCAGTTTCAAAAAAAAGAAGCACACAATGCATAACTCAGTTATGGCTTCTAATTTAGGGGAAAAAATTAAATTCTAGCAACTGGCTAATGTATCTGAAAGCCCAGAACACAATGGTATGCACACACAAAAAAATCTTTTATTTATATTACTGCACTGAATGGTTGAACCTGACAAGCATTTTAAAGACACAGGAAGCTTGCATATCCTTACACAGTTGAAACATCAAAACTCAAAAGGCTTACAAAACTTTTACCATCCTAAAAGAAGATTAATGGAAAACAGTGCATTAGTTTCATGTTATTGTGATGCAGACAAAAGCTCAGAGTTTCAAACACCAGAGAGCAGTCTCCATCATTAGGTGATGCTGCATACAGATGAGCTTTACTTCCATTCATTCGACTGCAAAGGAATTTCAGTGCAAGACCCAAACAGTCGTGACCAAAGTTATTCAGATCTGGAAGGCTGAGGGGTAAGTAAGGATTTAAAAAAAATAAAATCAAGTGCTACTTTTGAAACCAAGGCATGAAGTTCTATTTCATTTGTTGCACACTGTTCCAAGGAAGCTATACATTCAATTTGCTTTAAAAGGAGAAACTAAGAATACTTGTCAAATAATCATTGATCACAACTCCCCAAATACACTTAGCTTTTAAGTTTGTTTTTGGCGTGTGTGTATATATAGTACATACACACAGTTAGTATGCTATCTACATCAAGAACAGCAGCTACTAACAACTGACTGTATAGAGCTACTCTCAATTCCTACATAAGCCTTCTCGAGGCAAAAGCACATTTGTTAATTGTTAATCACACCCCAGATTCAGCTCTCCCTCTCCTATGGTGTTTTCTTGATGTTTTAAAGCACTATGAAAAAGCATTTTTGTTTCAAAATCTTGCTAAAGGATTACTCTTAGATTCAATTTTTTAATGTCTGTTTCATTTTCCTCCTAAGAGATATGTGGAGTGCAATGACTCACTTTTCTGTGACATAAAGAACTCCATTCCTGATGTAGTCTGTAGGCATCTTCCTATCTCTGTTAATCAAGCAACAGCGCCAGCCATTTTCACACACTGAAAGAAGTCATAACAAGAAACCTTACTTGAAGAGACATGCATTACACCCAACAGTTTCATTATAAAACAGGAGAAAACTCTGAAAATTAAACTTTAGATACCTAAAACTAGAAATGTTTACAAAGAAAAGCCTAGATAAGGTGTTTTTAGACATCATCACATCTGTTTTAACACTGGTTTAAAAACAAAACAAAAAACACCCACACAATTATTCCTTTTAACTTGACTATTGCATTTGTATTACCACAAAAAGCACACAAGGCTGTGCACTCTTTCAAAGAACAGTAAGGATGTGGAATGAGAGAGACCCTCTTCTTTCATCCTAATCTAAAGCAAGTCTTTTTAATCTAAAGCAAGTCTTTTTAATCAAAAGCTAATACCAACACGTTGCACAGAAAAGGAATTAAACTTTAAACTATCCTTGGCTTTTGAGAAAATACTCTGCTAATGTAGACTTCATGTTGTTTGATACCTGCCAAAGGACGCTCATTTTCTGACAGGTTAAAAACTTCATGGAAATTCCCCCTCTTGGTGGTATGAAAACGACTGGTATCTTCATCTTTGCTTATTCCAGTTGGGGCACTTGAGCCCACATAACTTCTGGATGCTGCTGTTTGAAGCTGCAGAAAAATAAACATGATTCCAAAATTTGAAAAGCAACATTTAAGCCACACTCTTAAAAATAACTTGGCTAACTATTCTTCATAGCAATGCATATGCAACAATTTTTATTAACTACTTCAGTGGAGTTAACTTTGAACTATTGCACTACACTATTGCTATAGCACAAAGGCCTAACATGGTATCTTAAGACCACCTTCCAAAGTGCTGCCCTTTGCAGGGCTGAAAGCATGTGGTGCTGGATGCACCTTTCTCAAAATACCACTTTTCTACAGTAAAGGGTATATCTGATTAGATACAGCTAAGTCACTGCACACAACTCCAATTATTATACTGGTGGGACTAGTATCAGTTAATACATTATTAATATTTGGTTTGTCTTCAAGAGACAGATCAAGCACAAAGCATTATTGCAGAAAATAAATTTAGAGAGGAAAAAGAGCAAACAGATAAAAAGCCAAACAAAACTGCATCAGCTCATTAGGAACACGTATGTTGAAATTGAAAGGAAGTTTTCCACGCTATGATCCATACCTTTTCATGCCCTGACAGCTAGCAGGAAAAGAAACAAACAACACAAATGTGACAGTGACAAAAGAAAAAAAGTGAAGTCTATTTAACAGTATAATACATAGAATAAAACATGAACTGAGTGAAGCTGCAAGATCTTGCTCACAAACCAAGGGACTACACAGAATGAATGCAATTAAAAAAAGAAGGGTTATCAGTGGTTAGAGCACACCAATTTATTCAGGTTGCGTTAGTTCTATTGATCTTTCCTTCGCTTTGAAGATACACTGAATTTTGAGAGTGTTGGCGTGAAATAAAATCAGAATGGCTGTCAGCATCCTTAGGAGGGGATATGCTACCATAAAAGGTAGCATGGAGCTCTCAAAACCAAAGTACTTGAGTAAAACGTACTTCTAAATAGAGCTTCTGAACCACTGGAGACTGGCCTAGCAAACAAGTTTTTCTTCTGGAAGGATGGCAGGCAGTTTCTCTTGGAAAGCTTGACTGCATTTGCTTTTTCATCTTGGTGAGGCACCACATGATTCCAAAGGCTGTTTTTTGTCATGAAAGCATTAACAGCTCCGTTTCTTACTCCTACTGTACACATGCAGTTAAACAACTGGCAAACTGACAACATACAAGCACAGGACTAAGCCCTTCTTCTGTAAAGGCCCAATGCTGTTGGAGGCCAAGCAGCCTCTGCTGGGTTTTTTTTGCACATAAGTTGGCAGCACTTGACACTTTGCAGGATTTAGCACTTACAAAAGAAATCCAAAGCAAATGAAAAAAATGCACACTGCAATCACTGACTAGAAACCAGACTAACAAAACAAGCATGACAGAGGGTATTTACCATCCAGCTTTTAGGGTAACTGTAATACAATGATGCCTCGGGGGAAAAGAAGAAAGAAAGTTGACAGAGAAAACAAATGGTTGATGATAATTGTACTCTTGCTTCATTTACTGCCCCTCTGCTGTGCCATTAGTAATGACTGAGCCCCTGGAACCAAGAAAAATGATGGCTTCTCCAACAATTTCTGTGCAAGTAAAGGTCAGAACAATTCTGGAATGTTTTCTTGGACAAGTTATTTCGATCCACAGGCATGTAACCAGGTGAACCTCCATGGCACAAAAAGGTCAGGGTAAGAGGTCTAATGCTTTTTGCGCTGGAATGAGGATTATTCCTGTTCTCTGCTAGACTGTTTCCTTCCTATCAGTTATGTAAAGAGATTTTTAACATGTGTTTAAACTCCAGTACAACATCCCATCTATTGGCTTAAGATGTGTGAAAGTTCTACCCTTACTTCTCATCCTACCTAAAACAGGCAAATATTTCCTCTACCCTTAGAAGCAGCAGCTCATTTATGCTTAACCACCCAGGCTTGAGAAAACCTATGGTCAACTACTAATAGAAAGCATTGCATCCAATGTTGATAAGTCCTAAATCTAACTGAAAGTAACTGGATTGGTAATGCTGGAAGAGTCTTGACTGTCTAAAAACATCACCAATAACCTGGAGGGAGGAATACCTAGAGATATTCTTTTTCACATCATCTGTCATCAGTCTTTGACATACAACCTTTACGAATCAGATACTGTTGTCAGGATTGTTCTCTAGGGACACAGAGTCAGAGTGGTGGTAGAGGCAATGAATACTGCATTGTGTCTAGGTTTATCACGTCTTGCATGCTGTTTAATGACAAGAAGCCAAAGCAAATCCACATGTGCTGGCACTACATGCTTTTGGACTCTGCCTTTTCTATGAAAAAAACTATTTGCTTTTTACCTTTTTGTACAAACAATTTTGTTTTATACTATGCGATTCCCACAAATTTCTCCAGGGGTAAGGAAGTTTGCCTAAAATTGCTGAAACCAAGTAATGTTTTCAAAGACATTCAGAAGCAGATAATGCAGTCCTGCACACCCTTCCAGGCACATGGCCAAGCCCATCAAGTCAGACACAGCAGTATTAAAACCCTGGTCTGCTTGTCAAAATTTAAGCCATAAGGAAATGCCAGACAGGAGAATTATCCCCTAAGTTTATGGGTTCAGGTTCAGCTAGAGCCTTTCCATCTCTAAAGCAGATTAGAGAGAGCCAACAAGAAGCTGCCAAAACCATCACAGTATGTGAATGACAACTTGGAAGCTCAAGTGGCACAGAAATTTTGAAGCTCATCTTCTGTAAGCAAGAGAAATACAGGCTACTGCTCATCTCCACCTGCCCAACTGCTCATCTCCACCTCTTTCCTTTGGAAAGTAAGAGCAAAAGATTAACTTTCTGTCATAGATTGTATTTCTCTCCTACTTCCTTCTGAAAGACTATTCCACAGTTTACCACCAACTGCTCCATCACCTCCAGAACCCTATATTTCTTATTCTTCAGCAGAGGTTAACAACCAAGGGTTCATGTGTTTTTCCTCAGTTGCGTACCCAGGCTGCACATTTTAGTGAGGAAGCTCATGACAGTACTCAGATATTCCATGAATGCAATTAGATACCGTAAAAAGTCATTCGTCACCACTATGCTAAAAGCTCATCTCATACAAATAACCATAAGACACAATGCCTTAATCTCAAAACTACTTTATTACCTCTGTTAAAGCTTATCTCATCAGTAAGCTGCGTATTATACTCAAGCCCTTTTTATTTTTAACTAGCTGTTCTTCAATCTACAGAAGTAGCTGAATTTCCACTAAAAAGGAATGTCTAAAAACAGAGAAAGGGAATGCAAAAAAGACTAAATTTTAACACGAAAATCTCACAGAACGTATGTTGCAAGATTTGTATGAATATGGAATGGTGTTATTTTTGTACATTTAGCTTCACACAATTTCCAAGCTATATATATGTTTATATATACATTTTGACAAGGCTTCCTTTTCTAAAAGCAACAGAATCCATATAAAAAAATCTGTGGATCTTGAAAATAATTTAACAAAAGAACAACAAACATTGACTGTGAGGATTTAATTAACCTTCCCTTTAATGTGCTCTAGTCACTGGGGGAAAAGGAAAGGGAGAAAGGGATCTGATTTTCAGATGTTGGGAACAGAGGGATCAAAGATTTATTAGCCTTACCCGTCTCGACACTGTAGCATTAGACCTTTCTTTAAGCTGAGGATCTGTTGGGAGACTTGTCCAGATGATATAAGGAGTATCATACTTAGCTCTTAGTCTGGGGCATCGTTTGAAGATAAAGTCAATAAGGAAAAACTTGATTCCAGCATAGAGTCCTAAAAAAAGGTCACTTTAGTATGCATGTTGAAAGAGCATTAAAAACATCTTGATCATGTTTTAACAAGTTCATGAATTAAACCAAATTCTGTATCTTCAGTCATAGTGCTAAACCATTCTATTGGTTTTAATATTTTGATTCTTCTTCCAAAGGCAGGAAATTCTTCCTTTGCCTCCCCTGTCCAGATTCCTCTCTCTTCATCCCCAGCATGTAGCTTCTTATTATGCAGAAGAACATTAAAATTATTCAAACATATATTCCTTATAAAGAGAAGCATTCTAAAAACATATACTGTAAAAACAGAAAACATGCCAGAGCATTCAACTCCACAGCTCCTTGCAAGAATTTAAATGGCAACAGAGGGCTCTCATGTACTACAATAAACTCTGTCTTCCAGTACTCTATGTTCTTTTATTGTATACAAAATATTTCCTTGCATTCTGCCAGATTAAAAAGAGCTTGAAATTCTCTCTCCGATCTGTACTAAATGCAATTCAGATCTCTTTCCATAAATTAGAGTAAAAAAAAAAAATATTCCTCACACATCTAATTCAATTGCCACATCAAGCAAATCTACACTTAAGTTCAAACTGACACAGGTCAGTGTTCAGTGCCACTAAAAGTAATACTCATTTGATCATACCATTACTTTAATGAAATTTAAAAAAAAAAAAAAGGGAAACCCAGGATGTGGTTTCGTATCTTTAAGAAAAGACAAGTCTCATACTGTAGCAATAACCCTCTTTTCCCAATTCTCAGTTGAGTTTAAGTACCTGCAGCTTCACCCACAGTAATCTGTTCATGTTGTCCAGTCTATCCTCCAAGTTTTACAAGTAGTCCATGAACACTTTCTTTTTTTTCCAAACCTGTCATCTTTGTGCCTTCTACATGGTCCCACACATTTAATTTGCTAGGCTGCAAAGTCCAAAATATTGGACTTCCTGGAAACCTCACAGCTGACACTCTGAAGGCCTCTAACAGCTCATCATAAACTTTACCTCTTCAAGAACGAAGTGCATTGTCCAGTCTTTTTCTATTATGTATCCAGAGAAGGTTTTCAAAATGCACATGACAAATGATGCCAAGCTCAATGAAAATACTTTTTAAAAGCTACATTATTAATGCAGAGTTTTCTTTCTTAAACTACATAGTTATCCCTCTAAAGACCATGTTAAGTTTTAACACATTATGTCTAGACTGTAACAGGTCAATTATTTATTATGTTTACCCATTCCGAGCCCAATAATCCTGTAGGGCAGAAAGCAGGATGCAATAAAAGCTGCCCATAGAGTAATGTAAAGCTTCTGTGTTATTTCTGGCTGGACCCACATGAACAAGCTGAAAACAGAAAAAAACCACAAAATTACCAGTGTTTCGTACATTGGTCAAATCTTGTTTTAAGAGGGAAAAAGAGACTCAGGCCAGGTAACTTACTTTTTAATTTTTTCCAGTATGTCTGCCATCTTCCCAAATAGGTTCTGCATAAGAAGTAAGAGAATTAAAACCATGTCCTGCGTTAGTTTGTGGGGTTTTTTGTCCACATAATAGAAAATTAACAGTTACCTTACTCTGTTGGTAATAAGCAATTTCCAGAAATTATATTTTTAACTAATTTTTAGCTGTTTATGTATTTCACAACTGAATAATAATAGAACAGAATAGCAATACTCAATTATTTAAATCTTATTGAATGCCTTATTCTGTAACTCATGATTGGTCATTAGAAGAAGGTATTTGACCCCACTGTCACAACTGGAAAGTCTTTATATCACCCCAAATATTTTAACTTAGGCTGTCAATATAAGAGTTAAAAGCTTTTGTCAATAGATAACAAAATGGGAAGTTTCTTCATGCATTTCAAGCACTGAAATGTCAGGACTTAGTTACTGAGTTAATAAAATGTTGGGCTATTGGCTTCTTTAGAAAAACACCACCACCAGGTGTTTATAATGTACCCTTCGAGTTACTAGAATCCACAGAATTCCAACAACTGTCAATGCAAAGGGACCCCTGCTCAGGACTAAGAGTGTTATTCAGACATTTTCTCTGACTGATTGTTGCTGTCACAGCACCTGTGAACTTCATCTTCCTAATAAAGCTCCAAAGGTGTTCATGTAAACATACGCACCAGCGGGAGGAAAGAGGTAAGCGTTCACAGTTAGCAGAAGAAAGGCAAAGTACTTCAGCAGTGACACATTGTTAAGACATGGCACAAGGCTGCAGTTCAACTGGGTAGTCACTCAGCTCCCAGGATAGCTCAGCAAACTGAGGGAGCTGGGGGAAAATCTTCCCTCACCTTCTCCCATACAAAGCAGTAGATTTCAGGGGTTTGGAGGGTGATGGTTTTTATAACAGACTATTTCAGAGATTTGTGCAAACTGTTGAATTAACAGCTAGACAGACAGTTGAAGGATTAGGGTCTCTTAGACCATTTCTGTGACCAGCAGATTTGGTATATGGATCCATACTTAAGAACACTGGTACTGGTACACTGGTATATGCTCATTTGCATGTATGAAGGCAAAAACTGCCAGAAGCTGCGAGTTCCACTTCAGACCTCACTCAGAGCCATCACTGAAAACCTCAACCAGTTCTCTGAAGCATCATGGCATTCCAAAAGCTCCAGCATCTTACTGAGTTCTCTATCTTATAAGTGAAGATCCCTATCCAAGGAAAGTACCACCTGGTTAACTGTTTTCACATGCTGCATAACAAAGTACTTTGACAACTTGGGACTATGAACCTCCTTGTTCTAAGGAAGCTGCCTGAGAGGTCCAAGAGCAGCACAGTACCTGTGCCTTCTGAGCCACATCTAGAACAAGCTGAAATTTTTCAGACACTGTCAGGTCCTCTTTTGGGGGTTCCTTGGGCAAGAAAGAAAAGAGACAATTCATTAATTTTCAACTCAGCTAAATCCGGTATTTTACAAAATTCCTTGTGACAACACAACCCCTCAACATTCTGGGCAACAGTCCTCTCACTTCAAACAGCCTTCAAATTTGCCAAGTTCCCTCATTGTAGAGAACAGCCCACATGGCTGTCAGCTCGTGACACCCATTGTTTAAGGTCTACTGTTTCTGTCTTTCATTGCTGGTTATCTTTAGGTATCAACGCTCTTGGTAGCTCCATGGTAGCTGCAAACATAATAACATAAGGCCATGAAAGACACAGTAAGTCTTTGGAGGGGCATGGTTTCGATGGCTTCAGTCTATGGTCATACACTTACATTTATCTCCTTCTGGTCTAGCACAGAAATGTCTTTTTTAAGTTTTACATCCATAACTTCTTTTTTTTATTTAAATACATTTTTGGCCTTTTAAGAAAAACAAGATTATCCTGGAAGCAAAGCCTCACTAAGTCTTAATAAAAGGTTTGAAATTCAAAGAACTCCATCTTACATCAATACTGACAATACTTCCTGCTTAAAGCAGGGTGTGCAAATATTTAAAAAATGTTACAGAGAAAGCAGAAGGCAAGGCCTTTTGAAGATCCCACAGGATCCACCTTGTTCCAGGCTGGCATGTTAACATTTATTCCAGAAATGTTATTCAAGTTTGGCATATTTCATTGAGAAACTCCAAAATCTAGTGCTATTAATGAAGAGTTCTATATTTAAAGAGAAAGAAAACAGCTGCAGCGTTTGCACTCACTCTTCCTTCCTTTCACAGCCACCAACATAAACACAGAGGAAGGTTGTAAAGGTGCAACTTTTAACGTAGACGTTCAGGTCAAACCTATTAAAGACTTACCATGGGTTCAGAAACTTCAGGCACAATGCTCCACTGTATTCTCCAACCCCTAGAAGTTACGGAAATAGTTAAAGAGAGCAAGTACTTTTCCAGCTGTCAACATGGATTATTTGTAAGAGGTTAAGAAGTATTTTTCTGCAACAAGCACTTACACCTTAAAAAAATAATCCCCAAATTATCAAAAAACCCACAAAATAATATAAGCACAAGTGATCAAACACAGAGAGCTTTAAGGGTATATACATTAAAATATATTATATTAGCTAGGTAGATACTACACACAATCATTGCTTGTGGATTTTACAAAAGTGAACTGTGTGCACAGAGTAAATAATTAGGGATATTTTTTCTTTATTTCTACATGGACAAAATTATATCAACTTATTCTGGAGCCTATTTGCTACTGATATAATTCAGATAGTGTGTCAGACAGTAAGTATTAAAAAATTAGAAAATTATTTTAAAATATTCACATGAAGAGTCTCCCTACCATTTAAGCATTTTTAAAGGGGAAAACACCATCAGCCAAAAATAGCATTTTTAAAAGATTCCTTTTTTTAAAAACATGAAGTCTTAGTTTTCAACAAAGACCAAATATACAACCAACAAATCCAGTCCAAGAATAATAAACATCTTTCAAGCAAAGCATTATAAGAGAATAATCCAGTATTTAAGTAAATACCTGGCTATGAGGTAATTTAGGGACAACCTCAAAATTGCTAAAAATAAGAACATAGGAATGGCCCAGCCATGCCATACAGCATTCATGTAAATCTGCAGATTAAGAAAAAGAAAAAAAGAGATGTGGATTACAAACTGGGGTATAAAGTCAAGAGAGTTGTATGAAATACTATCTCCCACCGTACTGTTGGGTTCATAATCACACAACACAGATCACAAGAGTGAACAAATTTTAGCCACCCCATGACAGACATCAGCACTGCATTCCTGAATGTAACATCAAAACTGCAAGACTGAACTAAATCTCTAGAAACCACACTTAAATAAGTGTTCAGCTGCTTGAGAAAATTAACATTTCCAACACTGTTCTCAAACTACTCTGAATACTGTAGAATATTTTTATCTTAGAACTTTGAAGTGTTGAGGGATTTATCTGAGAACATGCAGCATCATTTATGATAACCCAAGTCACCGGAAAGAAAGATAATACCTTATAATAGTTAAAAAATAATAGAAACTGAGCAACAAAATCAAGGATATTAGAGTTTGAATTTCACCTTGTTAACTTAACTCACAACATTAGAAAAGGTAACAGTTTACAACTCAGTCCAAGAATAATAAACATCTTTCAAGCAAATCAGCTGTGCCATTCAAAGTACCATTAAATAGGGCTCTAGAACTTACAGGGAAGAACCATTTAATGAAAAGGTGTGTGACATTTTCACCAAAACAGGTTCATTAAGTTATCAGTATAGATTCTTTTCTATATCAGAGTATTTCATATACACTGTGACCAAAAGAATTCAGATCACATAATTAACAATTAGAAGAAAAATCAATCAAAACTCCAGTAAATAGTTATATCACTTTGTGGCATGCAAACGTCATTACAATGCATGGGAATGCTTGAATTTAGCTGACAGGCCTGATGTTTGCACACCAAATGATAAATCAAGGCATTTTGTCTTTCACTGTTAAGTATGATGCTAACAAATGGCAGAGAGCACTGATGGTGAGCAATAGCTTCTTATCAAACATAGTCACTATCAGATTTCAGCCCTAGACAAGAAGAGATTTTGCAGAGGCTGAAGTAACCATCAAATTGCAGGACTGGGAGACAGGAAAGAAGAAATGAGAGAACAATGCCCAGATTGTCTGAAGTTATAAAACTATGCTACAATAAACACAGAATACACAATTTAATCCGCTTTCAAATATAACTGAAGTAACAACTACTGGTACTTTGTATTCAATGAAACTACACTATTTGATTTGACTTAAAATGTAGCACAATCCCTACTCACATACAAGTTTCAAAGAATTCCAGTAAATAATAAATTTCAAAAGTTCTTATTACTCCTGAAGGAATAGGATAACTTACAATAAAGGCAATAGCAGAAGTGTAGATAGAATACCAGTCTGATAAGGCAGAAAGATTCTTCACAAAATTAGTAACAGGTTTGGCACCTCTCTCTAAACAGAAGCAGAGAAAAAAACACAAGTGTTGGAATTAGCTGGCAGTGATTAACTTGCAAATGACAAGCAACCAAATTAGAAAATTCATAGCAATATTCAAGACACATAATCATAAAATGGCTTATCCAAAAAAAGAAAAATCAAACCCATCATGTAACTGAACAATTAGTTAAGAAATGTAATTTCAAAAGCTAATGTTATTCAACACACAGGTTATGTATAAATACATATATATACACACATATATGTATGTATATATACACATATGTATATATGTATAACTCTTAAGTACAGACTCACAAAAAACCAAAAAAAATCACTATCCTTTGCAAGGTCACCCTGGATGTTGACAGCAGTCTGATCTGAGCCCTGTTCACACTGCCCTTAGAACCTCTGCATAGGTCAGTTCATCCCTTTGAAAACAAGGTAAATCAGCCTGACTGGACTCCAAGCCACCAAGGAACCACTTGCTGCTTCTTAACCAAACTAGCTTAAATGCCAAGCTAGATCTCTCTTTGCTACCTTTCTGCTAGAGTCTATCCATGGGTAGCACTTTGCTGCTTATTCTTCCTAAGCCAAGAGAGCAACCAAGGGTCTTGGGAGCTCCAGGTGGAAGTCAGGCACCCCTGGACAAAAAGATCCTAGATTTTGTGGCTTACCTAGTAGAAGTTAAGAGCCACTCAAAACTGAAGCTTAATATGCTTTTCTTTTTAAGCTATTCTGAAGGAAATGCATGTCTACCACAGAGAACAGGTCATAAGTGTTCTCTCAAATGCAACTAGAAAGAATATCAGCATTTAAATAAGGAGAACAAAATTGACCCTACATGGAGCTTACAGACACATATTTCAACTTCACTTTCCCCCTACAATATTGTAACAATCTGGAGCACAAATCAGTCTTTTTTTTTTTTTTTTTTTTTTCTTTTCAGGCTTGCAACTCTTTGTTGCACAGAACTTTCAGAGGGCTTAAGTATTTCGTTTAACCTGCCATCTTGCATCCTCCACCTTCCTAAATAATTTATTAGCTATCCAAGGGGAAGAAATGCAAGCCACACCCAGGGTATGCATCATCCCACCCCTCCTTCTTTGAAAGCACAAGCCAGTAGACTAGCAAGCAGCTACCAGATTACAAGCAGCTCAGACAGAAGTGTATGAACACTATTACTTTTGTCATCAGACAAATACTCTATTCTCATTCATTACCTATTTGCACATTTTAATTCACTTACATTTTTAGTTCAGAGATACCCTATGTAATTCAGGATTAAAGGCAAAGCTTCCATCACTGCTTCTCTAAGTTACTTTGCACTCCAAACACTAACTCAGGATTTCAGAATCACTTCTACTCATGAGCTGGCAAAAGTATTTCAATACATTGTCCTTTAAAATGCAGCAATCCTCCCAATAGGGTCACGAGAACTATTTCTACTTCCAGAGAGTAAAACATTGCTAAGTACTTACTTAATCTTCTCATATTTTCAGTCAACCTGAAAAATAATGGATAAAAGCAACTTATTTAACAAGTAAATAGTGCACAGTTATGTACATTTCATCCCTGAAATACTGCTCAGTTATAAATAAGATGTTCATGCAGGAAGCTTAATTTTTCCCTGCTATGAAATGTGTTTCTAGTAATTAATACAGACTACCTTCCATCCAACCAAAAACTGAGATGTAAAAGCCCTCCAGCCTAACACTTTGTCCACAGTTGGAGATGCCTATGACAAACATAATAAATAATGTAACTCTATCTCAGACAGCAAATAAAATGGTTTTGAGATGGCTCAGTACTCTCAATTTCATTATCTGTTATTAACACTTGCTCAAACCATGTAAAAGATTGCAAAGAAAAGAGAAAAGAAAGCAACTGGTAAAGAAGCCAACAACTTATTGTAATCATATAAGAGATTTACCTTCTAGCACTAAGTGGCTCTTCTGTTTCCACTGTATTCTCTTCTGGCTGAAATCTGAAGTCTTCAACATACTCCCCAAATTTGTCAAAAAACCACTTCTGGAGTCGTGAACAGACTGTGTTGCTACGCTTATCTGTAAAAAAGAAGCTCTTAACTATCAGGACAAGACTAGACGACATCTTCACACAAAGCCCGCTCCTGTTCCCACACCCTATGCTTCCTTGGGAAGCACTTTGTACAGCTTCCCTGTCCTTCACCCACAGTCTTCATGGAAACTCACTATGCAATTTGCTTCTGCCTTTGCCCAGAAACCATGACTGCACCAAGCTGGTAAAGACTAAAGGTGACTCCTGCTTTGCTCTATGTACAGCACATGGAAGCACCTTCTTACCACAAGTACAGAGGTTACTTTAACATCCTAAAATCCTAGACATTTTAGCAAAAACTGTAAAAACATTTCCTGAGGTTTCTGTAAACAAAAGACTGACACAAATCTCAGCACTACTAATGTGCTGATGGGTCACCTTGTGAAAAGCAAGTGTAAAGCTAAACACTCCCGAGCAGAGAGCAGGACAACCACCTTGCAGACACACAAATTTGACAGGAAAGGGAGGTGGAAACTTAAGCAAGATTCTGCAACAGTCATTTTTACATTGCAAAGTAATGAAGGAATGCACACTTTCTGTATAACAGTTTCCATGGAAAAATAAAACATTAATATATGGAAATAATATATCATAGAATCATAGAATCATAGAATCTTAGGGGCTGGAAGGGACCTCAAGAGATCATCTAGTCCAACCCCCCTGCCAGAGCAGGGTCACCTAGAGTACATCACACAGGAACTCATCCAGGTGGGTTTTGAATGTCTCCAGTGAGGGAGACTCCACAACCTCCCTGGGCAGTCTGTTCCAGTGCTCTGTCACTCTTACAGTAAAAAAAT